TCATCGGCCGCGTCTGTGGAAACAAACGTAAGGGGTCTGGAGTTAATCATGAACTCTATTTCTAAAAGCGAGCTTCACAGTGTTTCGTTATTAAACGCGTGTGCTGGATTCGTGGCATATAGGACAGTTTTAATGGATCTTACAAGACGTTCTCATGCACACCCCATGTGGAGCGCCGCTGGTGGGTTAAACTTCCAGCGAATGGTGTCGAGTTTGGCTTCTACTGTCGAGTAGTTAATGTTCTTGGCTTCATCACGTAGAATCTGCGCGGATGGTCAGGCATGTAAAAATAACGCCCCATCATTTATCTCGCCTGCGGCCTACTACTACGTACATTGGCCCGAAGTAGTCATTACCAACGTAGCTAAAGGGCCTCTCGTAGCATGCCAGCCTAGCCCTAGGCAAGGCTGCCATTTGAGGGTCGCAGCTTTATTTTTGCAAGCTTGGCAAGACCTTTGTATAGTTCGGTTTAAAACACGCAAGCGTGGAATGTAGAACCTGCCTTTGACATCATTTATCACTGCTTCGTGAGATGGATGATGGTAACTTTCGTGCGTGTTTAACAATCAAGTAAGTTATGTGGTTGTTCCGTGGTAGTACGCTGGCGTCTAGTGAACATATAAATTCAGCTCGACTTCTCACCCTCATGATGCCTTGTTCATCTATAAACAAATTGAGCGATATTAACTTACTTATTTTTTCAATGTTCTTACCGCCTTTTAGACAGGACAACTCTTGCATGAATTCGCTGAGCTGCGCTTGCTTCATAAGGAACGCCTTTGCCGGGCGGAGACAGTGAATGAACTTTCGCTTGTAGCGTCTTTGTATACAGGATGAACGTAGCTACTGCACGGTACAATCGTCTCCAACTCGAAAAATATTCGGTGTTCATTACCACCAATTGCTGCTTAGGTATTTGTATGTGTAGAGCGTGATGTCTGATTTCGACGCTGTCATCGATTGGACCAAAGTCTTTACGGCTAAGCCAATCGTTTTCATCGGCTTTCAAAAAATAAGGTCCGTTGATCCACGTGTCGCTGTCCACTTTGGATTCTTGCTTAGTTGCGAGGTCTGCAGGGTTGAGTCGTGAGGGTACCCACCGCCACTGTTGAAGGTTTGTATTTTCCAATATCTCAGCTACCCGGTACATGACGAATTGCCGAAACTGCCTAGGGTCCATCGTAAGCCACTTTAACACGGTAGACGAGTCCGTCCAGAAAACTTTTCGCTTGATAGGTAAACGTGGAATCACTTCTGTTTTTGATGCAAGCCGTACGCCGGTTATCACGGACTGCAACTCCAGCCGTGGTATCGAAACTGGACTCAGGGGAGCCACTTTTGACTTCGCCGCTATTAACGAAAGATCTACATCGTTACCGAGTTGCACCCGTAAGTAACTCACCGCTGCGTACCCGTATTCGCCGGCATCCACGAAGGTATGCAACTGAACGTCCGTTGCTTTATTCAGATTAAGTGAGTAGCATCGCGGAATTTCTATGGACAGCATTTGTGATACGGTTGTTTTCCATTGACGCCATTTTGAGTACAGGTCGTCTGGCAGCTCCTCATCCCAGTCGATGCGCAATCGCCAAATTTCTTGTAGCAGAATTTTAAGCGCAATTGTAAAGTGGGATAAGAATCCCAAAGGGTCAAATATTGACATCAAAACTTGTAGGACTTCACGCTTAGTTGGTGATAAGTTGCTGGTATTACGTCTCGCTTCAACCTCGCAAACTTGAATGCGTATTTGAAGACATCTTTATCTGGATCCCAGTACACACCCAATACTTTTTCGCTTGCGCCCAGCTGCACGGGGGCTTGACCTCCTGTGACGCGTTTTTCCAAACGCGCCAATACCAAGGCTGAATTTGAAGCCCAATTGCGGATATAGAAGCCTTCTGATGCATGTATCGCTTTCACTGCCTCTGCCAGATCTAACGCCACTTGCTCACTATCCTCACTGTCTATGAAGTCGTCTACGTAGTGGTGGTTCTTGATGGCGTCGACGGCTCTCGGGTGTTGTGGCACGAAATTATCTGCGTTTTTGTTGCGGACATAGTGTGCAATGAATGGCGCACAGCTAATGCCAAATGTTAAAGCTCGCATGACATATACACTGGGCTTGTCCAACGCGTCATCTTTGTCACACCACAGAAATCTTTGTACGTGCATGTCTGCTTCGCGTACATTGATTTGGTGGAACATTTCGGCTATGTCCCCGCAAATTGCCACACGACCAATACGAAATCCTAATAATATTTCCAGCAGGGGTTTCAACAGATCTGGGCCACTTAGTATTGTATCGTTCAATGACACGCCTTTACACTTAGCTGCTGCATACTAGGCGAAGCTTTTCGGGTTTATTCGGGTTCCGCGTTACAAATATTGGTAAACACCAGGCACGAGAAATATTCAATTGTAGTTGGGATGGACTTAGTTTCATGGCATAACCCTTTGTCAGCAAGTTGTTGATATGCTCATGCATTGCTGCTCTAAGAGCTGGTTCTTTTAGAAATCTTTTGTGGAGACATACTAGTCTCTTATATGCCATTTCGTAGCTATCAGGCAGATTCACCTCATCGTGGCGCCACAGCAGCCCAACTTCGTACTTATCTCCCGTTTTATGACATGTTGAATCTAAGGTAGCTATCGCCTTCGAATCTTGTGGTGACAAAAGCTGCGATGGTGGCGACAAATCCAATTTGAAGCTTTCCTTTACTAGCTCGTGCAGCGCCTCGTATTCTTGTCTGCATGCACATGTGTGGATATTTAAATGCGAAGTTTGCGACGGATTGGAGCCTCGACCCTGAATCGCCCAGCCCAATCTGGTTTTGGTAGCTATCGGTTGGCGCCAATTTCCCTCACGTATTTTCATTGGTACAGCGAGGTGCCAATTGTTTGACCCAATAAGAATTGTTGGTTTTGCGTTCGTATAGGATTGAATCGGCAACCCATTTAGATATGGGTACTCCTTGGAGACTCGGATCATATCTACGGTTTGTGTGGGGAGCCCCAAATTACGAACAGTATGCACATCGTTTATGGTGAATGTTTTGCCGTTGTGAACATTACCGATCCGAAGCGTAAACCTTTTTGAAGAATCTTCATTGCGAGTGTTGTCGCCGGTCCAACGCAGACACAGTGGATCGGAAACGCCCGTCAGCTCGAGTTGGGTGAAAATATCTTCTTCCATCAACGTTACGGACGACCCCTCATCTAAAAATGCAAACGTGTCTAAGTAACTATTATCGCCATAAATACGAACCGGAATAACGCGAAAATAAGGTGAGTCCTTTCGCTTAGCGCTGTGTGAATTCAAAGACCCATTCGACGTGTGGTCCGTGCTCTGCAAGTCTGATTTGCAGAGGCTCCTGTGCAGTAGCTGGTGATGTTTTGCGTTGCAGCCGTCAATTGCGCAGGCTTTATTTACAAAGCAACGCCGTCGGTGAGCGTTTAAATACTGTCGACACAATTTCAATGAACGCACGGCTTCCCACTTGCGGTCCAGCAACAGTTTTTTGAAGTCATCACATTGAGCAGCTTTATGCCCATCTGCTCCGCAGTAGCCACAGTCCCTCTTTCGTGGTGAATTATCTGCCTGGGTATGCGTATTTACCACACCGCTTCGCTTGAACGTTGTAGGCTTGACGACCTTGCTTGCTGCTTCTGCTAGAGAGTAAAGCCAGTCGCTAAAATTCTTGACTGCTGGAATTCGGTCGTCTTTTGGATGCATGGCCCAGGACAGCTTATATGTATTTGGTAGCTTGTCTACTAGTTCCTTGACTAGCATTGGGTTGCTCATATATGCGTCCATATGACATGATGCCATCGTAGAATGTATATTGCGAACACATAGCGCGAAGTCTATCAGTGTTTCCAGCTTGTCCTTCTAAGGTTGTATCTTTCTTGCCTTCTCTATCAAATTTTCGATTACAAACTCCGGCCTTCCGAAGCACATGCGCAGCGTCTCGATTATTTCTGGAACCATCACTGGCAGCAGCAGTTTACATCGTACAGTTTCCCGTGCTCTTCCCTTCAGACTCGCCTGCAGTCGAATCAAATTTTCTGCGTTTGAGTAGCCGGCAACCTGAGAGATAGACTCAAAGCTGCTTATACAAATAGGCCATTCTTCCGGGTCACCGTGAAAATGTGGTAGATCCTTCGGAATCGCATGTCTCGCAGCTATCTGGGTGGCGGTAGGCGTATGACG